ACACATTGAGTGTTTTACCCTCACTTCCCAAAACTTAGTGTTCTCTCAAGATCCTCAAACAGCAGCGAAACATTCTCTCCCAGCTATCCTGAGTGTTTTCTTTTCTTTTTTAGTTATCTGTGGCTACGAGGTGGTTCAACGGTTTGCCCGCTATTCATAGCTTTAATGACTGTGCTGATTTGAATGTAGCACTCCACCACGGCATGCTGAAGTTGAAAGATGCTTTAAAGGTGAAGATAAGTTTGATGAAACAATCAAATGAAAACTGTTTATTAATTACCTGGAGGCACCTCAATGAGTGAAGTAAAGTCAAAACCAACATTTAATTTGTGAAAAATGTAATGCAGGTACATTTTACTTTTACTTTCAGTATTTAGTAAAACCTCCACAGTTAAAAGGCATGATTTTACTGAGCAACTGTTACCTCTGCCAAGGGAGGAGGTAATATTTTTGGTTGCGTCTGTCTGTCTGTCTGTCTGTCTGTCTGTCTGTCTGTCTGTCTGTCTGTCTGTCTGTCTGTCTGTCTGTCTGTCTGTCTGTCTGTCGGTCCGTCCGTCCGTCCATCTATCTATGGATAAAATTACTCAAAAACTTATGGACGGATTTTCATGAAATTTTTACCACAGGTGGGTATTGGCCAAAGGAACACATTGTTAAATTTTGGTGATGATCCACCTCATGATCTGGATGCAACAATTTTTTTATGATGGGGAAATAATCCAGCGTAGAACTGTAGACTCTGTAGAAAGCCAATCAGCTTCAAGGAAGATGACTGTAGACTTCCAATAACATCAGATCATTCATAGATAGGTCTACCTCCCACAACTGTACACATCCAATGGGATTGCCTGAGGCGGTGTTGAAGACCAATGATGAAGGCGCATGGAAATAAAACTTTTGACCCAATTACGTTTTAATTGAAAAAGTTACTGTTTTAACTGACTTAAATGTAACAAAAGCTCAGTTGGATAATACATCGGTCTGCACGTCCTAACAATTTTGTATTTTGTGTTTATGTTTTTGGATATTTTCCCCCCACCTGTATCGGAATGGTAAGCTAGCTAATTCAC